TGCTCCATGTGTCTGTATACATGTGTCCTTGACACTCAGAGCATGTGTTTGGTGCATAATAGGTGCTCAATGAAACCTTGAGAAATTGGATTGGATTAGGCTGGTTTGGGTGGTCTTGCTATAACAGCCATCGATGTACAAGATAATTCAGTAAATGGCAGGACAGATATCCACACCAAAAGGGAAGTGATGAAGGCTGGCACAGGGTTTTAGGACAAACTGCCAGTGCTTCCTTCGGTCCCACAGAAAACAGCAGGATCTTTGAGTTGTTTGTTTCACATGTCGCATATCCTAGGCTATTTTGGGAACTTGGTTTTTGTTTTGTTTTGTTACAATTTAACATCAGGTGAACAATTCATGTTTTCTTTTTCTGGCTTTCAGACCATGACTGTGGGTGACATTGTCTTCAAGAGAATCAGCAAGAGAATCTAGACAAGTCTGCATTTTATATTCTTTTACTGTGTAAAATTAATGTAATAAAGTGAAGTTTGTTTTAAAAATGATTTTTCTTCTTGATCGTCTGGATGACTCCTAGTCACCCATGAACCACCTATGAGCCACCTACGATCATGATCCCCAGGTTCCACCCCACCAGCTCAGGACCGGAGGGCAGGTCTCACCCTGCACTGAAGACCTCAGCCTGCCCTCTCCAGTGTCCCTGACAGGAACTCCAGGTGTGCCGCATCTGTAGGATGGCCCTGGCACAGCCCTTCCCAGCCAGCAAGGAGCTGGAGAAAGAGGGTGTGTAGTGGGCTTGTCCTGAGGGTGGCTCCCTGAAGGGATAGGGGCAGAAGCACTGGGCAGCACAGGACAGCTCTACTCATGAGATCAACCAGACCTGCAAGTCAATGGGGAGGTGGGTCGAGGACGTGAATAGGCTGCTCACACATGAAATACATCTGTTTCCATAGTAACTATGGAGGAGGTACCCAAATAAAAGTCAATAGTAAAAAGAAACACCCAAGCTATGTAAGCACTTGGGCACAGGCCCTGCCTTCGATGGCAGGTGAACACTGTGAGGCCCATACAGAGCCACTTGACAGTATCCCTGATCACACTGAAAATAATGTGATCCCTAAAACCTTGCAAGGCCACTGTCCTAGGGCTTCCTACACACGTGCTATACACAGGCATGAAGAGACACACAGATGCAGAAACCTAAAGTTGTAAATAAATGCTCACTGCTAAATAAGAACAGAACTGTGGTCCAGGCATGCCCTGAAATAACCCACAATACATTAAATGCACAAGGTAGGTCTACATGTACAGCATAGAAATGTCCCTTAAGATAAAGCACATTGTTTAAAAACCTAGTTTTGTAACAATGTTGACAATATCATTCCTGTAAATTTTGCTAAAACATGAAACGAAGCTATAGGTGAATACGGGAAACCTCTAATTGGTTGGAACAGCTGGATAAAAGCCATGACCTCTAGGGTGGAACAAAATTGAAAGTCAAAAGCTTTTTGCATGATTTACATTATATGAATCTTTTGCAAGTAAATGATTTTGTGGAACCATTTTTTAGAGGGCAATGAACTTAACAAACATATGTCTTAAGGAAAAATTCTGCACTTGAAGATGTAACTGTAGCTAATTGCTCCATGGCTTTGGACCTTGGTATTCTCACTGTGAAATGGGCAGCAGGAGACCTTCTCTAGAGCTTTTGCAAGAAGCCCATGAATTGGTGCACACCAAAGGTCATCAGAGTAAAGCACGTCACTGTTGCCATTGGATTCCTCCGGCAATGTCGCTGAGTTTGGTAAGAGCATTAGCAGCAACTGTGCAGCCACAGGAATTAACCTCTGAGAGTAGACACAGAAGCTGAGAGAAGAGGTTCATCCACAACCCCAAGGGGCGGTGGCACTGAGGTTCTGGATCTCCAGCTGCAGGAAGAGAGAGTAGCCAAGTACCCTGAGCAAGCCTCCAGGACTACACAAAATTCCCTGGCTCCTAGGAGGCTCCTCCCTGGGAACTCATTTGGGGGAAGATCGCTATTATGCCTTGGACTGAAAAGGAGATTTAATTTTAGAAGCGAATTTTGGTTTTTACAGATTCCCAGAAGACCCTGGGCTGGAAATCTGCTTTACACAAATTGGCTCAACAGCTGTGGGTAAGGTGGGCTGTTTTTGCCTGACCTCTCGGGCCCCTTGCCTACGCTGCGGTCCTCCCGCCGACAGGGGGCGCTCACCGCAGGTGCCGCGCCAGGTGCCTGCAGGTGCGATGCGGTCTACACCTGCAGCAGTCCACCCAGAAGCGCGCTTTCCCTTTTCAAAACACGGATTGGGTTAGAGGAAATGATTCATGGGGTGGGGAGTAGAAGGAAGTCTGGCTTTAAAAACTACTCTGAGCCAGAAGTGGTGGCCCACCCTTGTAATTCCATGGCTTGGGAGCTGAGACAGGAGGATCAAAAGTTCGAGGCCAGCCTCAATAGTTTAGCAAGGCACTAAGCAACTTAGTGAAACCCTGTCTCAAGATAAAAATTTTTTAAAAAGGGTTGGTGATGTGGCTCAGTGGTAAAGCACCCCTGGGTTAAATCCCTAGTACTGAGAGCAGGGGGTGGGGGGAACCTATCCTTAATTACTCCTCTAAAATTGCACAATCTAGCACAGCAGCCACTGATTGCTTTGACTATTCAAACATAAACGGAAATTAAATAAAATAAAAGATTCAGTCTGAGTCAGACTCAAGTGCTCAACAGTCAGGAGTCGCTAGTGATGACTGTTTGGGGCGGCAAAAATTATCCATCATCACTGCTCCGAGGTCCTTAGAAGCCACACCTGTTTGCTTGGAAACATAAAGGGTTTTGTCGATTGCTGTAACACAAAAACTCAAAGTGCACACTTTAGTGTCTCGTGCTCGGTAATTAGCAAATTCATCCATCCATCATATACATTTCCCGGGCACCTGTCCTGCTCCAGGAACCTGGGCCAGATTCTGGGCGAGAACAGCCCCACCCTCCAGGAGTTCACAATCAGAGGGGAGGCAATGCCTGGGGGGGGTATTCTAGGGGGGCAGTGGAGCTGGAGCTCAAGGTCAGGGAACAGAGCATCATCCTCCAGGCAGCCCTTCACCAGAGGACCTGCTGGAGCACAGGCAGGGAGTTTGTGGGGAGAGAAGAGGGCGGACAGAGGGCTGAACCACCTCCTGCAATGCCACACCTGGGGACAGGTGGAGAAACAGCGTCAGAGGCTCCTTCCAAGGAACAGTCACGTCAGTCACAGTCAGGGAGTGGAGTGGGTGAAGAGAAGTCCACTCATCCGAGGCCCCAACAGCAAACGCTAGCGTGGGCGAGAGCCATTTCAGTAGAGGGGCAGGGGGAGTGGAGGGGCAGGGGTAGTGGAGGGCAGGGTGGGGCCAGGCTGCAGTGGGCTCCACAGAAATGCAGAGGGAGGAAAAGCCGATGAGACTACAACTAAAAGAACCCTCGCCATGGAGACCAAGGGTCTTGGAGGTCCAAGAGTCCTGATCTGAAGATGGGCAGTGGTGAAGAGTGGTAGAACCCTGGAGGGAGGGGAACCAGCATGGAGCAGATCCCAGGGTCACAGGAAGACCAGGGCTCCAGGGCACAGGAGCAGTCTAGCTCTGGAGGAGAGAGGGAAGGAGGATCACAGACACACAGAATTCACCAAGACAACAGCTTCAGGAAGACGGGGAGGAAAAAAATGATCCCGGACATGGGAGACAACCAGTGGGTGGGCAGAAAACATGGCCCAGAAAGGAAGAGGGCTGGGGAGGTTTCCATCCAGGAGGAAGACGAGTCATTCGAATGTGCCAGTGGAGCAAGGCCTCCTGGTCTGCAGAATGGGGATTGAAAGAACTGCCAGTCTTCCTATAGAATCTTCCAGAGAAGAGAGTGTCCTTGAAGAAGAGCCAAATGTCAGGGACTAATATTCTGCAAAGAGTGGCCTTTTGCAGAGTTTTCAGCCACTAGATGAAGTTCAGAGGGAGGCAGTGGGTCATTCTGGAGCTGGAGGAGCAGGGATGGAGGAAAACACGGAGCTTGCGGAGCTTACTTGACTCCACGAAGGTGGGTGGAGTTCTGAGGTCAGTGGTAGTAGCCCAAGGTTGCATAGAAGTCTTGGGGGACATCCCTAACTGAAGGAGTTTGTTCCGGGGTCTCAGAAAACACTGGTGAGAAATTTGAAGTCTCAGAAGATAACAGGCCATTCTTGGAATAAGACAATTCTCAAGACCTACACTTTTTGATGGAAATAACAAGAGTCTCCCAGGAAATCAGGACACACTGGTCACACCTCTGAAGAGGTGCACAGGTGTTCTTTCTGGTAAGAAGAGCAAGAACCCCACGGACAGAAAAAGAAATTCAGCAAGGGAAGTAATTACTCCGCCCTCTGACGGAGCCTCTTGGGACAATGAAGGAGTCTGAGCTGAGAAAGACCACCCAGGCACATGGAGCCAAACCCCCAGGTACACCTCTGCTGGACCCAGGGCCATCGGGTGCGTGTCTCCTCCCTTCTCTCCCTGGTGCACCCTGGGAAGGCTTCTTCAGTCCTACTAGGTCAATGGTGAGAAAAATCCAGGTATTGTCTCAGCAGCTCCCACATAACAAGGAGGCACTAGGGTGCTAAGGTGGGGAGATATTCTCTCTGTATGTCTAGAATTATTTCTAAAATTACACTTGGAACCCAGACCCAGAATTGAGATCTTAGGTGGCTTGGGCAAGGCCCTGCCTCTTTCTGCATGTGTCCCCTTCTGAATGGGCTTCAAGTCTCTGAGTGGGTCCTAAAGGGCCTAACAGCCATTCCTCAAAATCCCACCAACCTGAAGAAGTCAGACAGCACTCACCTGAATCGCCAAATGCTGACGATTCCAGCTCCAGGGAAACCAGCAGCCCCAGAGACACTTGTACAAATAGGTGAGCAGCCAGGAGACTCCAGGCGCCTGCCACCCTCAGCCTGGCACCATGGCCCCATGGCACCCCCCACACACACCAGACACACCCCTCCCCTGCACCCCTCTCCACATGGTTCACCACTGCGTTCGGGATGACACTGGGCTTTAATCGATCACTTACATTTGTCTCCCTCCTACACTGGGGGCTCCATTACCAGACGCTAGGGCCCAGCACCAGCGAGTACCTACAGGCGTCGGGCTGGGAGACAGTGTCAAACTCACTGGACAAGCTGAACTGAGCCCGAATGACAAAGTGAACACAGGGCAGGACGTCCCCACGAGGCTGAGCTTGCTCACCAAGAGACCTGCTGCCACCAGAGCCCCTCCCCGTGGGCTGCCCCCGCCCCAAGTCCTCAGGGCTTCTTGTGGAACAGAGCCGGGGCTGGCTCCGCGCTGGGCTCGGCCATGACCTGCATGGGCTGGTTGTTCAGGGCTGCTTCTCGCATCTTGTGGTACATGAACTCGTTCTGACGGAACATGCGCAGCTCCATCTCCGTCTGCACCCGCATGGCCTGGGGGACATAACCACAGTGAACGGTGGGGACGGCCCAGGACACTTGAGGGAGCTCTGCCCTCCACCTCAGCAGTGGGCAGTTAGTGTGGGAGGCAGTGTGGCCCCAAGGGAGTAGTCGAAGGGACTGTTTCCACCAGAGAATGTTTGCCCTCAGGACCTGTCAAGTGGGGACCCAGACTTGGGTCCCTCACTTATGCTGTGAGACCTCAGGCAAGTGACACAACCACTTCAGCCCTCAATCTTGTCCAGGACACAGATGAGATCCCTTTGTGCCTTATAGTAGGTTTGGAAGATCATGGAGTATGGCACACGAGAAAGCCCTGTCCCTCCATGTGTCAGGACATCTGTGGTTTCACTGGAAACCACAGTGAATCAGACTGACGGAGACTCTGCCTGGACAAGCTTAGTGTCTGGACAGACAGCTAGTCACCTCCGCTCCCTGCTGTCGCTTGGTCCCTGAATCCATGTTCAGAGCTAGCATATCCTGTCTCTTATAGATGAGGATCTGGGGGTCTGAGAAGTCAGGGACACCCCACCTGAGGCCACACTAGTCCTAGTGTCAAGGCCACTCTGCAACACTTGAGGTCACAGTGTGAAGACATGAAGTATACCTGCTTCCCCTGGACGAAGTCACCTGAGGACAGTCCTGTCACTCAAATAAACAGCAGGGAAACAGCAGATAGTAAAACTGCGCCCCTCATCCCTTGGGCCTTTAAGCACTGACTTGCTGAACCCATACCATGACACCGTCCTGGTCCCTACCACACAGAGGTGGAGCCGGCCAGGTGTCACTGCCATCACTGTGTGGAGGAACACAGCTGGAGAGAGCAGAGGCTCGGATTCCGCCCCGGAGTTGAACTCCAGAGGCGAGTTCCAAGCTCCATGTGTAAATGGCTGTGCACACACCACGGTCCGGCTTCTCAGTCCAGCCGCGGCCATCACAGGCCCAGTACTCAGGCTTCAGCCTTGCCATCACCCCTCAGTCACTACAGACAGAGCCCCCTCCCAGGGCCCTGGGGTTCCTGGATATGAAACAAGGGGGTGACAAAGCATTTCTGCACCCTCCCTTTCTGGTCCCTCCAGATATCAGGACTCCCCTAGGGCCAGGTCCACCAGAACTAGGCCTTTCCCCCTCAGGGAGCTCAGAGGCCGAGGCCCAGCCCTCAGGCACTACTTGCCTCCAGGTCTTTGGTGATAGGGTGGGAGGGCCCGTGAGTCACCAGGAGGATGGCGTAGGCTTTGCAGATCATCCCGTGCCCCACCTCGATGTGACCAGCGTGCCAGTTGGTCAGGCCTGCCCTCATCACGGCCATGCCCAGTTGGGCATTGTTGGGGTGGTAGAGCTTCCTGCAGGGGGACAGAAGATAACAAGACATGACCCCAAGCCCTCCCACTCCCACCCGTCTCCTAGTGGCTCAGAAAGAACCTTCAGTGCTCAGGCCTGTCTGCCCCTCCTGCAAGTCTGTGAGGCCTCCCTGGTCAGCTGGGCAGGACTGAGGGGTACAGGGAGCTGTGGGAGCTGGGACTCCGCCCTGAGCCCCGGAGCCACATCCCCATGAGAAGGCCCAGGATGGCACTCTGAGCTAGAACGGGGGAGCTGGGGCCCTTGGGGGCACTCAGGCCCTCCTAGGAAAGTGACAGGAATAACTAGAGCATCCTTCTCAGGACAGCTGGTAGTTGTGCTCCTCTGGGAGGCTCCCTCCTGCCCACTGGGCAGTGGGCGGCGTGTCTAACAGGCGGCCTCCTCTGGAAGACTTTCTTGTTTGTCCAGAAATGCAAACCCACCGGCTCATGGGGACACGGAGGTGAAGGGTGGTCACTACTGCTTGGAGCCCATGTAGAAAGGCTGGAGGGAAGGAGATGTGGGTAGCCCACAGAGGCTGTGGGTAAGGAGGTGCAGCACCTGCGCCCTGTGTGCCATTTGGAGGAGGTCTCAGGAGACCGTCCTGGGTCGGCGATGGTCACCTACATGTAGCCGTCCACCATCCGCCTGGCATAGTGGGAGGCCTCGTCAAAGGCCTGGAGGTAGGAGAGGACCTCAGAGACGACACTCAGCAGCCGCAGTGTGTAGAGGTTGGTATCAGAGAACACTGGCTCCTGCTTCTGCAGAGCTTCTCGGCACAGCCTCACCACCTGGAGCGAGACACGGGCCACCGTCACCAATACCCCGTAACCGGAGCCTCCCGAGGACCCCGGATCTCTTTTAAGGCTGGGGAAGCTGCTGACAGAAGTGAGGCAGCCAAATTTGTGACTGGGCTAAGATATGGGGATGAGACTGTAACCACAGGACACACCAATGACAGAGGGAGTGGGCAGCTTTTAAATCTGTGGGCAGCAGAGAGCTGTGAAAGCTGTGTACGTATGTGTGTATATACATGTATACATGTGCATACATAGACATACACGTGCAAATATGTGCACATGTACAAATACAGACAGGTGACAGGTCCATGACAGATTTGCCCCACAGCAGTGCAATGACATGGGTACTACCAGTATTCCCAATTTACTAGAGGAAAAAACTGAAGCACAGAGAAGGTAAGTACTTTGTCAAAGTCACACAGGTAGTGAGATCAAAGATTCGAACCAAGCAGTTGAGCTCCATCTTTGCGACCCTTCTTGTGATTCTCCACATGGGTTGTACTTTGGAATATCTGGAAAGCTTTTTTAAAATGCTGATGCCCCCCCCCCAAAAAAAGACTCTACCCCAGACTAATTGATACCAAATATCTGGGAGAGAGATGTGGGATGTGCAGTTTGTGGGAGGCGCTGGGGGTCCTTCCGCCCAGTGAGGCTGAGCAAGTTGATAGATACGTACAAGATGATGGGCAGAGAAGGTGGTTCCCGGGAGGCTGGAGACCCACTGGGAGGACGCTGCCTTGGTGGGGGCAGGCTTTCCCACAGCTCATGCACAGACACAAGCTGAGACTGCACCTCACAAACCCAGAGGATCTCTCGATTGGGTTGTCATTATCCTCCTCCTCCCTGGCTGCTCTCATGGGGAAGGGCCACCAGTTCTCTCCATTTCAAAACTAGCCGAGCTCTGAGGCTTCCCCAGAGCCTGGGAGCAAATGATTGTGGGGTGGCAACGGGGAGCTGCGACCAGCCCGTCCTGCAGGAAACCCTCTCCAATCCGAGGGGCAGTGGGCAGCCTGAAGTTGGCTCTGCCAAGTTTGAATGAAGACAAAGAAGAAATGAAGAGGAGACGAGAATCCAGGAAAAGAGAACCCGCCTGCTGCCCACTCCCGGCTCACGCCCTGACGCGGCTTCCCAAGCTGTGCGCAACACTGGGCATCGACTCTCCCCACCCGACAGGATTCCAGGGAGGCAAGGACAGTGTCGTGTTGGTCACCCCAGGGAGGGCTCTGCACGTGCAATGACTGAGTTAGCAGAGGCCAAGGAGGAGAGGAGGGAGAAGGAAGAGAACCCACCCCCACAGTACTGCGCCCTAGTGCCACACAAACCTGCCCACACACCCTGGTGGCTTAATGAGCTCGGGAGAACATCCTGACCCTGGTCTCTGTTATGCTGCAGACTGGATGACTGGCATCTCAGGGGGTGAGACTCAGCTGCCCAGGATAATTCAAAGCCACTTCACCGCAGCCCAGTGTTGGGCCATGGGCCTCAGCTTCAGGTGCATGTTGAAATCGCTGGAGAACTTTGAAAATCTTACTGTCTGGGTCTCACTCCCAGAGATTCTGCTGAAATTGTCCTGGGCCAGGGTCTGGGCATCAGGACTTTGTGAAGGTGATTCTAGTGTACAGCCCCCTCTCTAGTGAGAGCCCCCGGTGCCTCCAGAGGCACAACTGAATTTTGGTTGGCGGAGACTAGAAACTGTGGCCATTCAAGCACTCAATTACTCAGAGCAAGAGGCCATTCCCATGAGTCCAACTATCATCACCATCCCACCTCCAATGGCCCTGAGCTGTCCTACAGCCCCAGACACATCTGTCAAGCTGCCCCTGCTCTGCTCAGACCCAGTTCCCGTGAGCTGAAGGGTCTCTGAGAACACACCCCTAGCAGGTACTAAAGGGTTAGGAGCAAGAAAAGCCCTGGTCTCAATCAAGGGACATCTGCAGAAGAGCAGCCCTTCCCCACTCCTCCCCAGCCCAGCCCTAGAGCAATGGCCTCTCACCTCATGGTACAGACCCTCGGAGCGAGCCTTGTGTATTTTTTCCAACGTGTCCTTAGAGAATTGTATCATCTCCTTCACAGCTTCCTGAGAAGGCTAGAAAAGAGGGATGTGGAGTTGGAGGCCCCCTCCAGGGAAAGCCCACTCTGTTGATGGCTGCCAGTGGAGGTAGGTGAGACCACCGAGATCAGTGCCTTCCTGGTTCTAAACTCTGGGTCCTGAGGCTCCATCAGGATTCCTGCAGCTTCTCTGCCTTGCTTTCTGCCAGCTAGTGATCCCTAGTCCAGGCTCCCCATGGGCTGTGGCCAGGAGCACAGCCTGGCGCTGGTCCCTGTCGGGTGTTCTCTGCATTTTGGATTCTGATCTATCACCCAAAACATTGGCCACTCATCCACTACACCACCTTCACTGGCATGCTCCACACGTTCTGGAGGCAGCCTGGGGCGAGGACTGAGCCTGCAGCTTTGGACTCCAGTTCACCGCGGGTCGTTAAGGGGGATCCTATGCTTCTACCCATTCAAACCTCCCAGCATCTGGCCAAGGTTGGCATCCTGACCAGAGGACATCAGAAAGGATTTTTGCCAGCTACATCTGAAACCAAGACCCACTTGGCTTACCGCATTAATCCCGCCAAAACCTATCCAAAGACATTTTTGGTATTTGAGGCATGAAAGTACCATAATCAAGAAGCCATATCGCATGAGGACACCATAATTTGGAAGGAAAAAAACCACTGAATTTGTCAAAGTCCAAAGGAGGAAGAGAAGGTACTAAATGAAGGGGGAGGGGGAGGGAAAAGGGGAGGAGCCAAGTAAAGGGGAGGAGCCAGAGAGAAGGAAAGGAACGCCCCCCCAGGGAAGAGGGGCAGGGCCAGGGGAGAGGGGCGGGATCAGAGGAGAGGAGCCCAAGATAAGCAAAGGAGCCAGGGGAGGGGCCAGGGGAGAGGAGTGGATCGTGATTTCAAAGCCAGCCTCAGGAACTTTGCAAGGCACTTAGCAACTCAACTCTCTAAATAAATATAGAAAAAGGAGATGTGGCTCAGTGGTAAAGCACCCCTGGGATCAACAGGGCTAGTTAGGGGCATTTTGTTATAAGCAGCTGCAGCAAACTAGCCTGCACAGCATTGCTTGGACCCTGATTCTTGCCCTTTAAAAAACACAGCTCATTCCACATCTGCACATAAACATCTGGCTCATTCATCTTAGTGGGTTCAGGGTATTTTCTCCTTTGACTCTCTGCCTGTGATTATTTGGGTTTTATTCAATATTCAGTGTTCTCAACAGGGCCGCCACCTACATCTTTCTTCCTTCCTGGGTCTCTGAGACCTTGGGCCAGCTCCCCTTCAGGGACCTTCCCTACACCTCTTACAAAGGCAGAGCAGGCCTTGAAGATACTCTTCCCACTAGACTCAGGACCCAGCCCTTCCTGCTTGACCATAGAGCCAGACAACGTCACTGTCGTTTTTTGGTGCATGGCTTTGCCCTGCTATTCCGACACCTGTACACTCAGCTCCCTCCTGGTGCAGCTGAGCTTCAGAGGCCCCTCCGCAAGCCTGCCCCCTCTCCATGTTGTCATCCGTGAGACCAGAAATTTTTCTGGGATAACCCAGTAACAAATCTCTTTGCTCCTTAGACCTCCATGTCTGAGAGGCTCAGGGGTATTTCACCCACATGGGGGTGGGAGATGCACGGAGTGCCTCTGCTCCCTTTCCTACAGTACCTTGGTTCATCCTCAAGACGACCCTTGCAGCGGGGCCTTCATTCCTGTTTCGCAGGTGGGAAGACTGAGTGACTCCCCCAAACTCCCTGGTAGGGACAGCTGGGCCCTACCACCCCTTGCCACCTCCCCGGGGCCATGGGGACCTCTACTGGCTGTGAGAGCCGCCCTGGCCTGGCCCCAGGGGCAGTGGCCTGGGCCCAGCGGTGGGCTGCGTGTACCTTGGGGTCTTCCTTCACTCCCAGGAAGAGGTCATCCTTCAGCCCTTTCTGGCAGTGCTCACAGGTGCAGTCGAAGTAGTACTGCTGCTTCAGCTGCTGCCTGCGCTCCTCGCTGACATTGAGGAAGTCGATGTAGGACACCGTCAGCTCCTCTCCCTCCGAGATCTTGCCCAGGGCCCGCAGCTCGATCCTAGAGCAGGATAGAGGGGCAGGAATCAGGAGAACCAGGCCACCCACAGAGGATCGTGCTCTCCTAGTCCCAGAGACTGCATCTCCACTAGCACCCCGAGAAAGCACCCATTCCCCCCAGGAGGGGGAACGTGACCCCACACATAGTTGCTAGGTCACTCAGTATTATAATGGTCAAATCTGCTCCATTCAGCCGATTGCCCTGGAATAGGTTCCCATAGGCTCCCAGTAGAGGGCTGGGCTGGGCCATAAAACCATACACAGCAGCCATTTCTGCAGCCTCCTGTGTGCACTTAGTTACTGGTTATCTGTGACAAGGGAAGGGAGAAACAAGGAGGCAAACCCCAAGAAAAAAAGGCCTAGAAGTGATTTCTGGAGACACTTTCAAAGACAAATACATTCTGTTACCCACAACCCTGGCACACTCTGTGTCTGACTTTAAGCCTCAGGACCTTCAGCTTTGGTTCAATGTTCAGGCCCCCCCTGTGGGGGACTCATGCCCACCACTGTCACTGGAGGTAGACAAACAAAGGCTGGGTCTGCAGCCTGCTCATCACTGCCTTCACCGTTTCCTGGGAGACATGGCAGACTGGCAACAGTAGGTAGATTTCCTTCCCCCCAGACCTGACCCTCCAGTACCCACAGCATGACCCACCCGCTGAGCAACAATATGAAAGGTGCTCAAGGTGAAAGCCCTCTGCAGAACTGACACCCAGCGGATCCGACAGGCAGGCTGGGGGCTCCACCCACTCCACCACCCACCCCCAACACCACAAGGTCAGATGGTTACAGAGAAGTGTGAGACGGGCAAGCTAGATCCCAAGCCCAGTCCAGGGCCTCACGGCCCAGGGGAAAACCACCATCCAGAGAGCAAGGGACAGGATGCAGAGGGCTGGGGACAGGCACTGCAGAGGTGGGCATGGCTTTATCACCCAGAAAGGCTGTTAGGTGCTGTGTGAAAGGCAGGGCGGGACTCCAGCACCTGGAGGGGTTCCGGGCAAAGCAGCCCCTTCCATGTCTTCCAAGGTGAGTGGCAGAGACATGCCCGCCTGGCACCTGAGGTCACCACTTAAGGTGAAAACCTCTCCCCAAAGTGGACTACACCAACACGCCCCAAAATGCACTCATGTGGGTAAGAGCAGATGAGGCAGCCTGGGAAAGCCCCGATGCCACCCCCTATTCCTGCTTTCCTTTCTTCCCAGCCCAGTTCTCAGCAGAGGCAATGAAAGGCAGGTGGTACAGAAGGTGAGTAGTGCTCACAGATCTGCTGAGAATCCTAACATGCCGAGCTGCAGGGCCCCATGTCTCTGAAACGAGGACACAAACCAAGAAAGCAAGTAGCCTCCTCCCAGGTCGCAGAGCACAGGGGTGGCAGAGATTAGAGTCGGGTGCCCTTGGTGTCCCTGGTGCTGCTCACATGAGGTTTCCAGGATGCCTCACGGCCAGCACAGTTGCCTGGGACATGAGATGGCCCTCTGCCCTGGGTTTTAGGACTCCACTACCAGGCAAATTGTCCCAGGTGAGCCACTCGAGGGCCAGGGTGTAGGGTGGATCATTGGTGTCCTGTCCCGGGAGAGGAAGACCCACTCTGTTCCCACGGTTCCTTTCCCAGAGGCAGCTCGCCATGGTGACAGATTGAAATCCAACAGTGATCTGTGGCTCAGATGGTTTAATGGTGTTTAAGAGTTTTCAAAACCAAATTAATTTCGTATCACTTAAATACCAAAAAACACACACATCTTCTCCCAGTCTGATGTTACAGGTGAGCCCTAACTTCCAGGGCTCATGTCCCAGTAAACCCATGGGTAACTGAAAATATCACAGGACAAAACACAGGTGGGCTTGCCCCTGCTGGGGAGCGTGAAAGTAATAAAGTGTCCCAACCCTCAAAAGACATGTGCAGTCCCCTGACCTGCCCCACACCATAGCCTGGCCCGGCTGCCTTCAATATGCCCA